GTATAACGCCCATTGAACATTTACTGCAGACGTATACAACTATGGAAAAAAACAAACTAGGTAATTTTTTCTATATTTTCATCTCATGAACTAATGTTACATAGTTTTCGACGACCCTTTTGCATTTAAATCATCTAAATTCATAAATGCAAATACATAATGTAGAATTGAAAATAACAAGCATTTAAGCAGCTGTCTGTTTCTCTGGACAGTTCTAATACCTTTTGCGATTCTAAAGAAAAATCAAAACAACTCGTTTAGTCCGAATTTTTATATTCTACGGTGAATATGTGCATACAAAAGGTTAACCAAGCTCTGTAACAATAGATCAGTTGTTCCCACGAAAGGCAACGTCGCTACCCATGACTTCTGTAGGGGTAGAGGGCGGTAAACCGAAACGAGCAACCCTCTGTATTTTTGTTTGTTGAGGAAGTCGTTTTTAAATTATTACATAGTTAAAAGTTCATCGTCGCACATTTGACGGTCATACAAAAAAAAACGATGTATAGAATAAATTCAATGTGATGGAATTTGTATTTCAATTTTCTGTAAAAATAACTTCTTTTCTTTATTAAAAGTTTATTATTTAAATCCATGATTTCCATAAATAGCAACATTTTACTTGGATGAACCAACTAATCTGAGAATGCTGACTTTCAAATAATGACACCCAATTTCTGCTAAACCTTTGTTTAATACGTGCGACGAGTTAAAAACTAGTGAAAACAGTGCTTACAGCTGATTAATAGCTAAGAGTCAGGTGCAGTCCGTTCTGCAAGACTGCATGGGAATCGCTTGTGTAAGTAAGGGGAGCATATTCAGCAATTTCTTTTACATCGTTTGTTGTTTTTAATATACATAATATATTTTCTTTATCTTCCGTGGTTGGTCAACCGAGTAAGCATTCGGATGTGAGCTATCCATTAACGGAAAAGGACGAGTAAGCAAGTTTGGTCACGTCATGAAACTTCACCAAACATCAATGTTATAAATTAAATTATTTCTTCTCTGTACCATGGTATTAATTAATCATTTCGTTGATTCCTAGTATAAAGTCCTTAGACTTATGATTTAATGGTAAAAAGTAATTGATGGAATCATATTGTATGATTGATTTTTTGACGATTTTTTCGTTTTCTCTTGGTAGGATTTGCAAGACCCTCCTAGATACTTCCGTAGCTCCTTGGTCCCTTATTCTATAACATTCTGATTGACATACGAGGCCTGTTCAGAAAATAACTGACCTTTTTCAATTACGCGCTAATGGAGAAATTTAGTGACATGCAGTTGGCAGAATTGCGTTGCGCATAACCTCCTCTGTAACCACATGTTCTTGGAAAATTGATATCCCATTTAGTTTTCGTGATATTGTTATTTGAATCAGTTTGACACCTTTAAAATAAAGTAAAAATAAGAGAGCTAATAAGAAACAACTTATTTTTTTACATAATAATTAGCTTGCTAAAATTGTTGATTAACACAAGATTCAAATTAATTGAGGTAGATAATTGTAGGGAAAGTATTAATAGTATCCAATTTCATTAGAGATATTCATTGCTTTTGTTGTATCTATGGGTTTTGTAGTTAATTTTTTTCACGTAAGTACCAAATATTTCTAATACACCTTTATTTCATACACCTAATACTGAAATTACACTGCACAATATTTACTTCAATTTTCTACCTCCTTAAATTAGTTAAATTTTATAAAACGAAAAAACTGTACTAATTGTAAGTCAAACTTAGATGAGTAATAGTCCAGGCGGTATCTGTTTCGGGTTGGGTAAAATGCATATGATCGGAGATTTGCTTTAATGGCTTCTAAACATCAGAAATCATAATATTTCTATGCAAATAAAAAAAATCGTGGGCTTAATTGTTATTGCAAAAAAGTATACAAAAATAGCAAAAAAAATTCATTTTTTTTTCTTCAATTTCTCGTCGACAACTTAGCAACTATTCACTTTAGACAAAAATGGAAGAGGAAAAAAAGTTTTGTAATTACATTTTGATCAAGATAGAGTTGGTTGAAATTCGAAAAAATAATTATTGTTATTGCAAAAATCGGAAAAATCGCAAAAAATGCTAATTTATTTGTCAATTTTTTTCAGACACTTGAATAATACCTAGGATCTTCATACTTTTCCCAATTAAACTTCTTAGTGCATAGAATCATCACACCAAATTTCATCCAATTCGGTTAGATAATTTTTACATAATAATTGTTTAAATTTTTTATTTTTTTTAAATTAAAAAATTTTCAAAATCAAATTTCTAAAAATCTAAAGCCTTTGAATACTTGAAAATTTCACCACAAAAAGAAGAGCTCTCAAGCTTTAAAATGGTTTTTGAAAAATTCAAATCGGACGATTAGGTGAGCCGTGGTGATTGTTTAAACATTTTCGCAATTTTCACGCTTAT